AAAGGTTCCCCGACAAAGCTCTACTGCTCAGAGCAGATAAGAAATCATTCACATAAAGTAGAAGAGAAGGTATAGTACACATAAACAGAAGAAGAAAGGAGGGTCATTCAATCCAAAAGTGTGGCATTGGAAGAGGAGCAGTACATTTTAAAGCAATATGTTGCACAATATTGTGCTACAGAAGAAAACAATGGAGGACCTTGCTTATTCTATGAAACAGCTGTTGAAAAATTGCGATGGTGCAATACTTGGCTGGCCAAAGTGTCTTCATATGTGTAAATATAAGCTTTCTAGTTTCTGTATTCTGTATCTTGAAGAGATATAAGAACATATTCCTGTAGATATGAGACAGAAAAGCCCTGATTGTTACATAGGCCAGTACTATAATGCCCCCCATATTGCTGGTCTGCATGCAACCTGTACAATAATTTACTGTTAAATAAATGATAACTTTGTCCAGAGCAGCCCTCAGCTCTGAATTGACTCCAAAGCAAAATGATATAGCCCTGCCATGTAATAGCTGTCAAAAGCAGGGGTTATCAACCATAAGGTATGACACATAAAAATGTAAATTTTGAGAAAGGGAGGGGGGTCTAGAGAAATAAGGCTCCTCTCCATTTCTGTTTCCGCAATGACCTCATCTCTCCCGCCACTCCTTTGCTCTTGCTTTATTTCATTCTGTGTCGCTCTATCTTTCATTCTTCGTATCAAGCGCACACTCCCTCTGCGTTTCTCAAGCACATGCTCCCTCATCCTCGGTCACCCTAACCACCTCATTTCTCCAGCCCTCCCTCCTCTCCAACTCTCACTCTGTGCGTAATTCAATCATCCCAAGGAGATGGATATCCGTCCCCTAGGAGCGCTTACGCTCTCCATTTCCTAAAGCGCTTGATCAGATTAATTGATTGTCCCCCCACTCATCTCTGCACCCCCTCTGCCGACCGAGGCCGGTGTGGTGGTGGAGGGTGTACAGAAATCAGGTTTGCATTGATATTTTTATAAAATGCCTTTTGCTACTGCCCCCAGACGGACCCCGTAAAAGGACATAAGAGAATAGATAAAGTACATGAGCACAGGAAAGGTGGGGGTGGGGGCAACATAGAAGGTTGGCAGCCTGCAGAAACAGACAGTCAGGATTCATAAAGAGGACAAAACAACAACCTGGAGCATGCAGGAGACAAAAAGCCGAACATGAGATCAAGAGACAAGATAAAGCAGATAGACGATCAATGAAACGAAATAAACAAGAATGTTTTAGGAGGCGAATAGAACATGTGTGGTGTCTCTGCTTGTATACCGTTATGTTTGGCAGCAAGCCTGCAGAGCACAGTAGAGGGTAGAGATGGGAGAGTCAAACCTCGCCCCACAGGGACCGCAGGAAGACCTCAACTCATCCATTATAACTGAGAGCCAAGCGGCTGCCATGTCTCCTGATTGCCGAGTCCCTGCGGAGCAGTCGCCATCTCTGTCTTTCCACCTCTCTCTTTCAGTCTCTCCCTCTCTATCTCTCTCTTTTTGGCACTGGGGATCGTAGTAGATCACAGTGCTGTTCCAGGCCTTTGGCTTCCACGTTATAGCAGGGGCCAAATACATACACAAACATACACACTCATGTACACTCACACACACAAGCACACAAACACACAGCAGTGTAAATACACACAGACAGGGATAGGAACTCGGTCGTCTCTCTCTTATCTATCTGCCGCACATTTTCCCCATACGTGTAAAGCTTTTACCTGAGCGCGCCATTACAGCTGAGGCTTTTACCTCTGGAGAGCCAAATTACCTTTCAGATACAACCTTCCCTTTTTCAACTTGCCCTTGACATTTAGTTCACTTGCATTTTCCCTTGTACATATAGACTCAAATAAATACTAGAAAACCACACATACACAGGAACACACACACATTAGCAAGGTTTCAAGGCTTATACTTCACTGTGATATAGACCTCTCACATTTGCTGCAAAATGTTCCTATGATTCTACTGTAACTTAGAAATGACTGTATGCTTTGCAAGAGAAAACACACACAGCTTTAGTAGGATCTTCCATGCTCTAACCACAGAGGGTACCAAGCTCTCTTAAACTTCATCATTTAACAGTAGGTAAGGTTTGCTTCACCATCACTTGTGCATCCAAAGAAAGGATATTTCAAACCAGATATATGGTTAGAGCTGCACAAAAGGGTAGATAATTAGAAATTGATGATTTTTGCTTCGCCATTAATCATCTAGTTTTTCCAAAACCCCATTATGCAATATTTATGATATCAACATTGATTTCAATTACTGTTTGTTAAGTGAAAATTGTAGATGTCTGAGGGTACCTCTGCTGAGCGTCAGCATCATAGTCTGCAGATATATGCAAGTCATAGGCAAGGCTGCCAACATATGCCAAATGTACGCTGATAGAAAGTGTTTGGTGAGCCAAAAAGTTAGATATATATATTTCAGTAGTTTGTGTGCTCAACTGAAACGAAAGCAATGGCCTTGTATCTCACAGGGAGATTGTAAGGCCAAAACTCAAAAACTCATTTTGACTTGCATTTATTCAATGTGTAAAATGTTGGGAAGGTTTAGTGGAGACATTTCCACAAGTATTAGATTAGCTGATGTAGCGTTTCAAGCACATTGTTACTTTTATATCGTAAATTCAGTTATTGGATCATGGAAGGTGCAACAGAGCATAGTTTCAACATTCAATCAGACCTATTTTTCTATCATATGATGGCACTGGTTGTTTGCTGCTGCAGAGAGGAAAACATGTACAGACTGCATCTCTTCAGGAGGTAAGCTGAACTCCTGACCTGAATACACACACTCATCAATGCGGACTGTCAAAGGGGACACAAATAAAGTAAACACACACACACACACACATACAATCTTGGTATGCTTGAGTACTCAGTCCACAAACTAAATCAACACACCATTTATTTTTTCTGTCTGAAAGATTCTTTCTTTCTACTTTCCTCAGACTTTTTATTTGCTAGGGGGCTGAGCTCTCAGACTGGGATTGATCCTGAGCTGCCGTCTTGAACCTGTGCCCTAAGGGCAGCTCAGTGCAAACACGCAGCAGCACCTCTCCACTTATTCCCATCATGGTTACACTCTCTGTTTTGCTAAACCCACACAACTGATGCACACGTAAGGTGCGCAACATCTCTATCTGGGCTGCTTTGATGAACATTGAGTTGATAGAGATGCAGTACTGCCGCTGCTAGAAGCATATAGGGCATGCCCCTGGACCCTCCAAACTGGCTACTTCTCCCTACATGGCTGGCTACACCAGATCTTGTGGAAAGCCCTGGGAAGATGCATGGCTTGAAGGCACAGATACTTTGGATTTAACTGGTTTGGTTATGTGATTTTACTGTATAGGCTGGTTGTTGATTGATTATATTTTTTTAAATGTCAGTAATTGATTTTAAAGGTTATACTTTTATCATATTCAATAAAGTGGATTTTTCTAAATCTTGAGACACCTTGTATGTAAGCTAGACAGACATTTCCACTGCTCATTACTGTGCACAAATGTATGTATGTACTTCAGGCCTCAAGAGCCCTTCTGGTGCCGGCAAACACATAAAAACCTCAGACAGGGCAAGCTTTGCAGACGCACAAAAGAGAAAAAAAGGCGATTAAAACATTGCTCCACTTCACCTCTGCTGCTACAACTCCATCCTAGAGGAAACACTGAGATGTATTTAAAGGAAAAACTAATTGTGTAATCCCCTATCCCCTATGACATAGATAAATAGGCCACAACCAAAAAAGGCGAACACAACCACTAGCCCAGTCAAATTTGAAAAACTGCATGGGCTGAATAATAACCCTTCCTGTTTAAAGAGAGGGGCTATAAAAATGACTAGCATGTGTATCAGTATTGAGGGTGGGGGTTGGGGGGGATCAATAAGCATAACAACTGCATAAAACTATGACAGCAACAATTTCATACACCACATCCCATTTCCTCTGTGCTTTTTCAGGGGCACCGCACAAAAGAAAATCCATTATTTTTTGCAAAAGCAAAGATTCATTTGAACATTTTACATAAATAATTCAAGCACAAAAAAGCTTTTACAGTGTTTTCACCTGAAGACAGACAGCTAACTAGTGAGAAGGCTCACTCACCATCCAATTCTTCCTTCCTTCCCTCTTTGAAGTAGCGAAGCAGGGAGGGAAGGGCTATAATTTGCTTGATTCATTTATCATTGCTTACTATGAATACATGTCATTAAGAGTGGATGCTGCTCTGCAGTTGTGAAGTTAGGGAATAGCTGGCAGCATAGTGAGAGCTGAAATAAAGCAACATGGTGATTAGAAGAATTCATGCATCCCACACATACACACTGTGCCAGTCGAGAGCTTAATGGCTCTGTGGAGACTTGCGTGTGGGAACACACTCACAAACAGTACAAATACATGTACAATTACTCCTTGTGTTTCTCCGTCATTGGGCCTGAGTTCCCAGTTTGTGATTGATGGGTTGAGTGATTGGCTCTGTGAGAAAGGTGGAGCCCTCAAGTGAGCTAATCTACACTGCCTCCTACAGGATAACAGCTCACATTGAACCTATGAATATGTGAGATACTGTCATCACCTCCAGCTCTGTTGATTATGATGACGGTGTATGTTGTTTGCATTGGACATATCAGGGTTTAAAATCAAACCACTAAAACACTTGATTAAAAGCATTTGTGTACAAGGCCTACTGTATTTCATAATTGGGATGTTACTGTATATGAAACATTCTTAGGTGTTAAGAGATATTTTTATCGTGGCCTGATTGATGTTTTTTTATTTGTACTCTTCAATAGGACCCCTGATTGCTTTTCACTAGGTCTCAGTTGTTATTGAGAGTGTTCTGCCAAATCCCAATTCAGATATCCAAAGTTCCCCTATGGCAAATTTGGCAGACCTTTTAATTGTTAATAGGATGTGACAGCCCATACACATCACTCAATGTCTACTGAGACAGAGGGGAGCTTCCCTACCTTCCATGCAATTCGGTTTCCCTTAGTGTCATGCTCAAGTGCCATCGGAAACTCTCCACGCTCGTAGAACTTGCGAAAGGTGGTTGGTTTAGAGGGGCGCGTCTGAAAAGCCCCTGCAGGCGGTGGGCCCACCACCTGGTCAGACAGAGAGAGGGGAAAATGAAAATGAGGTGAAAGCAGCCAAACCGAGAAATAAACCGAATGAGACATACACAGCAAGGAAGAGTGTTGTTTTATGAAATCAGAATTGACTGTGTTTGCTCCTACAAGAATAGAATCACTCCCACAGCATATCCTAAGTAATTCAGGGAGACACATGTGCCTGCTCCTCTGCTTCTCTAAGGATGAAAAAACACAGATAGTGTGCACTGGTGTGTGTGTGTGTGTGTGTGTGTGTGTGTGTGTGTGTGTGTGTGTGTGTGTGTGTGTGTGTGTGTGTGATGGCCCTGTAGCCAGAGGCACTGCTAGAGGCATTGTTAGGATCATCTTTTCTCTGCCTCTGTATTGGATATGTGCTATTACTGTGCCACTGACAGTCAACGGGGCTCCTACCACATCAACCACTTTTGTAATATTGGCCATTGGTGGTAGTAGCAACACAACAGATGTGTTTAAATGCAGCACATTTAAGTGGAAAGTAGACAGGGAGGGATTTTAAGGCAAAGTGTTTTGTATTTATTTTACTCACACTCTGTTGTAAATATGTTGAAAGATAGTAGACATATTATGTGATTAAAAAAATGTTTTATACTTTACTCACAAATATGCACAAAGAAATAGTGTTCAAGTGGAAGCCACTAGTGTACTTTAGGAGTTTGGATTTATTTGATTGAGAACATTAGAGCTTTCCAGCAGCATGATGTAGAGGACGAATGACAGAATGTTGTAGCCAATCTTTTCCCTGTCTGTGTCCCTTGTGTGCATCCCCTGCCATCTGTGTGGCGCTGCCACATGACTGGCAGATGTGTTGCTGTCATTAATCCTCAGATTACCACCCATTGAGAAACAGAATTTTGCCACAGCAGCCCACAGGCAGAGCAGAGTGGGACTGGGGAAGTGTTATCTTTGGCAGGACTGACTAAGATTGGTGAGATTTTAAAGGGTTTCAGTTCATTACCATGAAGCTACTTAGTATTTTATGTTGCATCATTCCTAAATGTTGCCTGTTTGTTGCATAATTCAAAAACAAAATATGGATAAGAAACATAGGACCACAGATGCAGCTTTTCAAAACACCCACTAAGAAATGATGTAACATGGAACAAAGTTGATATTACTCGTGTGACTCGGTGCTGGCGCCAGCATTGCTAGGCTCAAGAGAAACAAGATTAGAGCAGGAATATTATAGAGGACTCTGAGCAACGACTGCATTCAAACAGCTCTAATGCACCGTGGGATTGCAGTGCAGTCAATTCAAATGAAACCGTTTGGAGCACTTGTTTACAATGCAAGGGAATACTGAATAATATTATGCTGAATTAATAGGCACAGTGTTGTATACCTGCAGGAGAAGGACTACCTTAACAAAATGTCCGTGACTAACAACCCATGTAAATCACAAGAAGAGCCATTTTTCAGTGTTGCCTACTGTAGTACCCTTAAAATAAATCCATCACAACAAATTATATGTATTCAGGCTATTGGCTTTTTTCTCTCCTTTTATTTTGAGTATAATTTTAGTAGCAATAGTGTGTCTAATCCTGTACAGCAATAAAAAAAATCTTTATTAACTCCTCCAAAAGCCTTGCACAAAGTGCACTCATGAAAAGAGCGATTGCTCCAAATTGTACTCATCTTAGATTTTAACCAGTGAGTCAATAATTGCTTGAATTGTTTTTAATCAGCATTGTCATAAATAGCTTAGTGTCTGTTTGCCTCATTAGAATACTGTCTTGTCACATCAGGCGCAGAGTGTAGGTTATTACAAGAAAGCAATGCTTTTTGTTGTTTTATTCAGAGTGTGAAATAATACATCACTATTATATGTTTGTCTACCTCCCTTTCTGTCTGTCTCCGTTCATCTCTTTCACGGCAGGAGCTATTTTGCAGTCATGGCTGCGGAAGCAGGGAGAAGTAGAGTTTGCAAGATCAGTGCGGCTCCTGCCTGCAGGAGTGACAAAGTCCTTACATTCAGGTAGCTACGGTGGACGGTGGTTGAGCCATGCTGCAACAGGGGAAGCTAAAAATAGCATAGACTGGGCAGCAAGGAAAGAATGAACCCAGACTGCATTGACTGGCTGAGCAGCTTTTATGGGCAAGAATGATGACGCTGCAGTCACTTCCATGGCCTGCATTCATGGCTGAGGTGTCGCAGGCTTCACAGCTATTTTCTTGTTTTCACTTCAACTATAATCACTGGCAGGGAATACGCACTAACAGCCAGAACAGAACATACACTGTGGCACTTCCTTGTAGATCTGTACACACAATGCCACAGAAGCCTTTACCTCTGTAGGCTGCCACTTCCTAGCACCTTTAGGAAAACATTTTTAGTTGTTGGTAGATTATCACCTATGGTTTCCTGATGCCGTGCCAATTATCTGCCTGCTCCTGTTTTGTCAGGAAATTTGGGTCTTAAACTTCTAAAGCAAGCAGATAGAAAATACTATCACTGAATTCCAAGGTAAAAGATGTAGCCACCAACCTAGTTTGCCTTAAAGCAGCACATAAGCTACAGTTTGTTTCCCCTTTTCTATCCTTGTGAGAAGCCATATGAAGTTATGTACACAGTGCATAGCCGGCATTTCATATAAAAGGAAGCACACAGTATCCATGTTGTGCGCAATAATGTCCAAGTTCTACCATGTATGGGTGAGCATACATTTGTGATAACTCAATTTTGACTACTGCCAGCATATCAAGTCATTTTTTGCTCTCCATGTCTCCCAGATACATTTAAAATCATTAATTTTATGTGAACTCCATCTTCCCAACCGCCTGTATTTGTTGGTGTGAGTAGCTACAAAGCTTGAATTGTTAAAAGATGTGATAACAACAACCCCAACGTAGCATACCCTTGTGTAATCTAAAAATCCTTCATAATCTAAAACACTGGCATAAACACGAACAAAGACATTGAAAAGGGAGCCTATAACATAGACCTATGTTACAGATAACATCCCCCACCTCAGTGAAGGCCATAAAGCAAGCCTGTGAGGCGACAGACTACAGAACAGAGATAGAGGTGGTGTAAGGCAATAAAGGGAGGAAGAGTCTGTTTTGTGTGCCCCTGGTGCACACATCAGGGAGTCATAACAAGGCAGTACTGGTCAGATGAGCTCCAGGCTGTCATTTCTCTCCTTCGCCTTCACTCTGCCTCCAGATCTGTTTTCCCTCTAATGCTGTTGTCCACTCCAACTAGCTCCAGCGTAAACCTGGCTGCTGCTGCAGAACCCACAGAGGCAATAACACACACCAAAACATGCACCCAAGCACGCGCACACACACACTCGCTAAAACCACACATGCTGAGCTCCCCATGGGCCAGCCCCAGCAGAGGTGATTGAGCACCTGCAGGGCCTCACACCCCTGTCATTTATAAAGGTGTCGCCCCTAGAAACAGAGATGCTCCCTCTAACCTTATTAGTATGGCACTTCCATGCGCTCATACCTGATTTTGACACACAGAGTGGACGGGGAGGAAAAAGAAAAAAAAGTCAATAAGATGGAGACCAAGGTGCAGGTAAAGGTGGAGTTAGGGAGATGTGAGGAAGCTGGAAAAATAAAATAAAACTACATAAAACAGAAAGAGGAAATCAAGAGATGGCGAATGGGGTCGGGTTATGGAGAAATAATGGATATGACAGGAAGAGGGAGAAGAGAAGACAAGAGGTGTGGCTCATCAATTCTGAGGGTGAGTTCAGCATGGCGGTGCTGCTGCAGCATGTAGGTGATCCATCACTGTGCCTGGGCCTCCAGCTCCAGTGCTCTCTCTCATCTCTGTGCCGCTATACCAGCCCTCCACAACTCCTCTGAATAGATCTGATAGATGTCTGGTGAAGGGCTGTCAATTTAGCATCAACCCTGCATTTCTATCACTACGGCATGTTCTCATATTTGACCCTTGTTAATCTACTATTTAATTTCCAGCCTATTAACCTGATGTCTTGTGCCTGTAATGGCAAAAATGCATTTTGTTTCATTGTATTGTAAGGCAACACGGGTGCTACTGCACAAAGGTGCATTGCATCACCAGTTTACTGAGGCAGCAGAGGGGGGAAAGGCAACAGCTCCCTTGCTTGCTCTCTCACTATTTCTGCATTTCACTCCTGTTCTCGGTTGAGAGGTTATTGAAATCTAGCTCCGTATAGAAGGCCGCCACTCCTGAGTGAGCAGGGTTGGTGAGTCACAGAGGATGGAATAGACGGGCCGAGGCTCTCCTGATAAGGTCAGCCTGCACATCGCTGCCACAGGCAACAAAATTAGTTCTCTTTATTTACAGGGCATTTTCCACCATGGCTCAGCCGGCTGCCTGCAAGCCAGCCATCAGGGACTCAAAGCTGAACAGGAGATGTATGTTTTATTCTCAAACTGAATTTAAATGAACAAGAAGCAGACAAAATAATGGAAGTATTTAAGCTGTTAGGAAATCTCTACTTTATAGTCAAATAATCATTCAACAGGATATTTTTGTTTACTCATTCCCTCTGCAGGGCAAAACCCAGACTGGTGGGAGCCTGATTCCTTTCAGAAACATAAATCTGCAATATTTGCGCAGCACTCCATTAATTTCTCATGACCAAACAGTATGAAGTGCAATCAGTCTGCAAGTGAGTTTCATTATGTGCAGAAATTAGCCCTGTTGTGAGAGACAAGGTCGGATGAGAACAAATGAGCAAAGAGCTCTCTCTGGACTGGGGAATAAAACAGACTGATGAAAGGTAACAGGATCTTTTGTTCAAAGCTCACAGGTCCATAGAGGTGTGCTTTACAGTTGTCACTGTGTCAGAGGCTTTTGCATCAACCATACTGTGCACACCCTCACAAGGGCAAGGATATTTGTAATGAAAAATGATGACACCACTAGGCAAAGACAACACACACAACTCTTGTCACTACAAAGACACATGGTTGAAACAGGTGACAGCCACCAACTACTGAACCATGCACAAGAGGGATAAGTTTAAAGGAGAGCT